CAGTTTACAGAATGAAAAACGGTCGCCAGGGTGGTGATGTTGCGGGTACCTGAAGAGAATTGAAAAGGCGGGGGGGGTCCTAAACTCCCCGGAGGCTCAACAAATCCTCTAATTTCTGCTAGAGGGGAGAGCACCCTATCCCCATGAAAGTAGGCACAAAAAGCAGGCGGCGGACGGGGAGGACCGGTTTATGGCTGCGCGGCAAATGGCGCCCTCCGGGTGGCGGAAGTAAAAAGCGCAGCCGGTGGGCTGGGATCGGGCGCTAGCGAAGGGCACGGGGGGTGAGTAATGAGGCCCGGACCCGACCGACATTCCGGAGATCCGAGAGGCTAGAGTAGGACCCCCGAAGGCATGGACCGACGAGGCCCCGCGTTCCTGGCGACAAACCTAGGCCAGGTGTCGCGACCCCGCCCACCTGCAGGTTGTCGGCAGCCATAACCACACGCCCCTTCCAGCGGCGGCTCTTCCGGACGCCTCCGAGCTCGGAGTGGGGTCCTGCTCGGGCGACGGGCGCTGGTTTGCATCAGGGCGATGGGTGCTGTAGGAGCCCAGGCTACACCCAGCAGGAGACGCGCGCCGGAGGGGCAACCCAGGTCACATCCCGGGTGCACGTGGAGAGGGAGACGCGCTGGCCAATGGAGCCCTGAAGGGGCGGGGCTTTTCAGGACGCGCCCACGGGGCGGGGCCGGACCCGGGGACCAATGGGCGCGTGTGCGGGGGGGGGGGGGGGGCAGGCTCCCGGGCCTGGCTCCCGGCCCTGGCATCCCCGGTAGCCCGCAGCTGTCTTTTCCGGCACTCGTTCCCCCCTCCGCGCGTGGGTCTCGGGGGATCCCCCCGGATCCCCCCCGAGCAGCTGCATCCTCTGGGTGGGTGAGTGAGCGCTCTGCCGCACCCGGGCCGTGGGGGTGCTCATGGCCGGGGCGAAGGTGGATCGCGGCCCCCTCCTACCCGCCCCGGGAGAAAGTGGGCAGGAACCGGTGGGGGAAGGAGGGTCCACCTGGTGTTGCCTGCCTGTGTTTCTGTTTTGGAGGTCGGTGAGTGTATTTGGAGGGTGCCTCCTGTGGTGAGAAGCATCTGACGGGGCCAAGGAGAAGAGGAGCTGGTTTAAGATGGGTTGAGGAAGAGGGTTGACGGAGGGTGGGGCGTGGGATGGTTTGGAAGTTTCTTATTGACGTTAGGTTAGGCGACTGCATGGGAGGGGGTCGTCTCAGAACTGCGGAGGATGGGGTGAGGAGGGCTTCCTGCCCATAACTCACTTCCCTTTTGGGGGATTTGCTTCCTCTTCTACGGCTAGCTAAGAAGGAAGAGAATCTCTGCCCCTTCCCAGAACCACTGTCATCTCTAGTCTCAGGGATATGGGGAAAGGTGTGGCCCTCAAAAGCTGAAAGGGGCCTTGATACGCAAACTCTGCCATTGTTGGGGCAGTGGCCAGGGCCGGTCAGCCCCCCACTAATTCTTTATGTATGTATGTTTCCTTGCAGCTCTCCCTTTGGGTGTAAGGCATCTGGGTGTTTGCTTAGAGGTGTATTTTGGGGGCAGGGGGAGCTCAGTGGAGCTGCTCTCCATTCAGCACACTCTCTTGTGCAGGTCTCATAATCCACTGCTGGCCTCCTCTACCTGCTCTCAGCCATGGCCAGTGAAAACTCTCCTTTGCTGGCCTACCGGCTCCTGGGGGAGGAGGGGGTTGCCTTCCCTGCCAATGGGGCTGGAGGACTTGGAGGTGAATCTGCCCGGAAGCTCTCCACCTTCCTGGGTGTGGTGGTGCCCACGGTCCTGTCCATGTTCAGTATAGTTGTCTTCCTGAGGATTGGTGAGTGGATGTGGGGAGGGGCTTATAGGGGGTGAAGTGGGGAGCAGGGGGGCGGGGATGAGGTTGTGGAAGGGCTGGAGGTTACTGAAGACCAGTGGGTGAGGGGTGGTGGGGGTGGGAGTGAGCCGCCCTCTGACCTGCTTTGCCCCTCATGTCCCAGGGTTCGTGGTGGGCCATGCTGGGCTGCTGCAGGCTTTGGCCATGCTCCTGGTTGCCTACTTCATCCTGGCGCTCACTGTCCTCTCTGTCTGTGCCATTGCCACCAACGGAGCTGTTCGGGGCGGTGGAGCCTACTGTATCCTCCAATGTTGATGGACTTGGGGGTCTGGGCTCTTCCATCTTGTAGGGAAGGG